TTTATGGTTCTTGACTGGCCCTCAGACAGTTGATTTCTTAAATTTTGGCTTGGGCTGGGCATGGAGGTGCACACCTGTAATCCTAGCAACTCAGGAGGCTGAGGCAGGAAGATCACAAGTTCAAGGCCAGCCTCAGCAATGTAGCGAGGCTCTAAGCAATTCCTAAAAAAGTCCCTAAATAAAAATAAAAAGGGCTGCGGATGTGGCTCAGTGGTGAAGCAACCCTGGGGTCAATCCCCCATGCCAAAATAATAATAATAATAATAAAAAACTTTGGCTTGCATGATCTCAAAGGATGCAAGTGAAAACCACTAAGAATTCTAGAAAAGTAGAGAAAAAAGCAGTGGCTGGATCTGAAGGAGGTGAGTGGGGAGGGAGGCTGTTCATGGGTTGTTTTGTGTTAAAATGTTCGTAACATGAAGCTTGTCATTTTAGCCCATTTAGAGGTGTGACTCAGTGGCACTCAGCACATTTGCAACATTGTCAACCACTGCCCTTTACCTAGTTCCAGAACTGTTCCATCACCCCAGAAGGAGGGCTGGTACCCATTACGCAGTCGCCCCGCATTCCCACCTCCTTCCCCAGAGCCTGGCAACCACAGTGTGTCTGTCTCTGTGATCCCAGGGGACTGTTATGTTGGAGGAGGTGCCCTCTCCAGGGCAAGAGCCTGCAGATCAGACACCCTTATAAAGAAGGAATTAAATGTCCCCTGCCAAATATCTCTAGCTGCTTCCCCTAAATCCTACCCTCTCTCCCTAAGAAAAAGACATCCCCGAGCTGAGAAGCAGCTCTACCCCCTCCCCTCCCCCTCCCCTCCTCCTCCCCTCCCCCTCCCCTCCCTCTTTCCCTCTCTCTCTTTGGTATTGGAGATTGAACCCAGGGCCGCTTCACCACTGAGTCACATCCCCAGCCCTTTTTATTATTTTATTTAGAGACAGGGTCTTGCTAAGTTGCTTAGGGCCTCAATAAGTTGCTGAGGCTGGCCTTGAACTTGCCATCCTCCTGCCTCAGCCTCCCAAGTCGCTGGGATGGCAGCCGGCTGTTCTTAAACTCGATGAAATTCTCTTGCTCTCTCTTTTTTCCTTTTGTGGGGCTGCAGCCAAGGGCTTCCTGCACACACACAGCACACATTCTACCAGAAGTGACATCCAGCCCTGAAAAAAGATTCCCAAACTGAAATCAGGATAATTCTGAGCATTGTAAAGAGGATTACAAAAAACAGATTCTATGTGTCTTCTAAAATATTTCTGTTTTTATGTTGTACATTCCTGTGTGGGAATATTCTGCATTTTGGTGAGCACTCGCCAACAGGCTTAGGATCCTCCTTGGGCAGCGTGTTGATCTTCCCAGGCTCCTAGGAATCCTTTTCAGAAGTCAAATTTCCAAATGCCAGGCAGGGCCAGGAGCAACTGGATGGGGGTTGAAAATCCTGTCCCTCGAAGCAATGTGACTGTGGATGAGTGACTTCATTCCCCTGAACCTTGACTTTACCATTTTTAGAATGGGGCTAAGAATAGACCTACTCCAAGGGTGCTGAGAACATTAAAAACACAAACATATTCAGCTGGGCACAGTGGCGCATCCCTATAATCCCAACATCTCAGGAGGCTGAAGCAGGAGGATCACAAGTTGGAGGCCAGCCTTAGCAACTTAGCAAGACCCTGTCTCTAAATATAAAATATAAAAAAAGGCTGGGGATGTGGCTCAGTGGTTAAGCACCCCTAGGTTCAATCCCCAGTATAAAAGAAAAAAAAATCACATGATGTGCTTAATATATTAAGCACCCTGTACATACAACCATTATCAGAACTATTGCCATTCGTCTCCTTTATATAAAATTTATTTTCATTTATTTATTATTAATTAATTAATTTATTTATAGTTGTAGATGGACAGATTGCCTTTATTTTATTTGTTTATTTTTATGTGGTGCTGAGGATCGAACCCAGGGCCTCATGCATGCTAGGCAAGTGCTGTACCCCTGAGCTACAGCCCCAGCCCTATTTTTATTTTTTAAGTCATTATGTTAACTGTACAAATTTATGGGACACCATGTGATAATTTGATGTATACTACAGTGTGTAGTGCTCAAATCAAAATCAGCATAGTTCACCTCTCCATGTCCTTAAACATTTAAAAATTTTTTTGATTAACACATAGTTATTGTACATATTTATGGGGTCTTTCATTTTCTTTAAAAGCTTTTCCAGAGCCAGCCCACAGGTTCATGTCGGTAATGCCGGAGGCTCAGGAGGCTGAGGCAGGAGGATCGCGAGTTCAAAGCCAGCCTCAGCAAAATCGAGGAGATAAGCAACTCAATGAGACCCTGTCTCTAAATAAAATACAAAATAGGGCTGGGGCTGGGGCTCAGGGGTCCAGTGCCCCTGAGTTCAATCCCTGGTACCAAAAATAAATAAAAGCTTTTTAGAGGTCTCAAGAGAGAAAAGCTCAGGTTTTTACCTTTTCAAGAAGATCATAATCCAGGTTAATAAATTTCACTTTGCCAGAAAATTCAAGAAAAACCCAACCTGACATTTAAACTGGATTTTTGAAACACATTGGACTCATCAGCCCCTCAGCAAACGCGGCCGTGGCTTCTACCTCTTCATCCATTCAAATTCCCACCCCCTCACACGGAATGGCTCTGGCGGTCACTCACCCGCTCACCTCTGGATCTGGTCACACCTGCCCACCCCAGGCCTGACTCAGGACCCCTCCCTGGGCCCGCTGCAGAGGAAGGACAGAATTCAGGCAGGCTCTGTGCAATGCTGGGCCAGTCCTTCTCCTTCTCTGCCCTTCTCCTTCTCATTGACAAGACAGTCACATTGTGCCCTCTACTGGACCCTGGGGATTTTCTCACTTTCCTAGGCACTATCTTTGTACCCCAACAATCATCACAAAGTTTCCACAGGATGGGGCTTTATGTGCCATGTCACCCTGATCCCCTTTATGCCAGAGGTGAACCTCCACAGGTAGGACAGTTTGCATAGATGTGTGCTACTAAAGAGGAGGGAGATTGCCCTCCAATGCGTTCCTGCCTGAGGTTCTTTACTGGCTTCTAAATTAGTTTTTTTGTTACTATAACAAAATACCCAAAGTAGGCTACTTTATAAAGAAAAAGGGGTTTATTTTGACTTTCAGCTCTGGAGGTGCAAGGTCTAAGGATCCTCACCTGGTGATGGCCTTCTTGGTGGCAGAGTCTGAGGCAGCACAAGACATCACAGGGAGGAAGAGGGACCATGTTTTATGGCCTCTCTCCCACTTTTTTTAAGTGCTGGGAATCAACCCAGGGCTTTGCACTTGCTGGGCAAGTGCTGAGCTACTCCCAGCCTCCCCTCTTCCCCTCGCTGCCCCCCTTTTAAGAATTCGGATGCTAGGGACTGAACCCAGGGCACTTTACCACTGAGCCACGCCCCCCAGTTCATTTTTCAAAAATTTTTTATTTTGAGACAGGGTCTCAATAAGTTGCTGAGGCTGATCTTGAACTTGCAATCCTCCTGCCTCAGCCTCCCTGAGTTCCGGGGATTGCAGGCCTGTGCCACCAAGCCCTGTTCAGCTCTCCTTTTTATAAAGTCCTAGGACTCCATCAGGTGGCTCCACCCTAATGACCGTATCTAACCCCAACCATTGCCGGAGGCCCCACCTCCGAACACTGCAGTTGGATGAAGCTTTTGCTCTCAATACCTCACAGGGGGCCCGGGGGACACTCAGTCCACATTCAGACCACAGTGGCTGGGTGTGAGCCTTGGCTGGGACCAGGGATTCATGGTCGGGTCATTCAGGCCAAAGCAGAAACGGGAGGCGGTTTCTTGTATGCCACAGTGAGCTCTGGGTCCCAAAGTAACAAGCTTCAAAATGTCAACAACAGGGACAGGACTTCAGACTTGGAAGACGGACACACCCAGAAACAACAGAGTGTTCTGGGGGCACCCGGCAGCTCTGCAGACTGCACGCATCTCGTGGGGACGAATCCACAACGTCAGGTGACTTGAACAGGGTCACAGAGCTGGCCCTGGGACTCCACCCCAGGCACCAGCTGAGCTGGGCAGGAGACTCCTGTCACCTGGAATTTCTCCCTGCCCTTCGCACGCGCCTGCCGGAACGTCCTCAGGACAGAAGGGAACACCTTGTCTGTTGGCCATTGCGCTACTCCAGGGTTCCTTGTCAGTCCGTCCCTGTTAGGATGGAAACGCCATGCGGACTGGGCCTTTTTCTTTTTAACGGAGGTGAAATTCAGATCATTGCAATTAGACATTTTAAAACAATCAACGCAGTGGCAACGAGGACATTCACAACATCGTTCAACCTGTACCTAGTTCCCTTGTCATGACCCCAAGGAAGACTCTCATACCTATTAACTATTAAGCCGACCGGTCTTCATCCCCCCGCCCCTCCCGAAACCACTAATCTACTGTTTCTCCTCCCAAGCAGCTGGGAATACAGGTGCATGTCTCAATAACAAGTTAGCATGTTTTTGAGGTTTATTCACCTTGTATCATGCATCAATACTTCATTCCTTTTTACGATTAACTAAAACTCCCTTGTATGGATAGACCATTTTTTTTTAACCTGTTCATGATTTGATGGACATTTGGGTTGATTCTACCTCTTGGTGATTGTGGATAGCATAGGTGTTTGTTTTTATGTGTTCCTTTCCCCCAGTGGCTAGAACACGGAGTGGTGAGGACATGGAGAACAAGGGCGTGCCAGGTATTACTCATCTCTGACCTCTTCCTTACATGGTAGCCACTACTAAAAGGTTTCAAGATCTGAGACCACAAGGGTGCAGGGACCAAGCCACAGCAGAAATCAGTTTGGAAGGAGGAGGGAGGAGGGAGGAGGGGCCCCAACAGGAGACAGGCTTTCCATTTTCTACCCTTTGTACTTGAGAAAGTGAATCGTGACACTGCAGAAATATTTATATGCCCGGTTCTAAGAAAGAAGGTTATTTATCATCAGACAGCAAACACGGAGAGGCATGGGGAGGTTGGGAGACTCACAGTCAATCAGAACTAGGTGGAGACGGTAGATCCTGCTCACTGGGGCGAGCTCCAGGGAGGAGGTCATTGAAATCCAATTGCTTCCCCCACAAAGGACTTCATTAAACTCCGGAAATTACCAGGAGCCTGTTGCAAAAAAAAAGAAAGAAAAAGAAAAGAGATAGCGAAGGGAGTCATTTCTCTTTAATTGTTGGTGCAATTTAGAAGAAATTAAATTGCAATTAAGTTCGTTTACTTACGAGGAGACGGGGTGTGAACACTCTGTGGGGAGACCCCATCAGCCTTTTGGAAAGAACAGGGCTTTTTGTTGGGGATGGTTCGCTGGGGACCGCCCAGTTCCGTAGCGAGTTTGGCGGCTTCGGCGCGCCCCCTGGTGGCCACAGGTGGGAGGTTCGGCCACCGTCTCGGTTCCCCTAGAGGGGTGAGCGCCCCGGCTCCAGAGTGAATCCGCAAATTAATTCACTTTCAAACGGGAAGTGAGGGCTCAGCGTGGGCCCCCGGGGGATGCAAGAGATGCCATGTAGGTGAACCGATTTTTTAAATTTTAATTATGAACTTAATTATAACTATGGTTACAATATCAAATCGTTTTGAGATCATAAACTTAAAAAGTCACTTTCTCAGACCAGTTTTTCCATGACCTTACTCCCCGACCCCTAAAAAGCCCATAGATGGGACCCTATGGGACCCTATATTTCACATATTGTTTCTCTCTCTCTCTCTCTCTCTCTCTCTCTCTCTCTCTCTCTCTCTCTCTCTCTCGGTGTTGGGGATGTGCTGAACCGCACCCCCAATCCAGCTTCTCTCCACAGGGTGTGTTGGGGAACTTCCCATCTAAGCACATGCAGATCTAGTTCATAGTTCACATTTTCCAGTGGCTCTGTCCACCTTGCATTTCATGGATGTACCATAAGTTACTAATGAGTCCCCTAATGATGGACATGGAGGTTGCTTCTTATTTATTTATTGTGCTACCGGGGTGCTTTACCACGGAGTTACGTCCCCAGCCATTTTAAAATTTATTTTATTTTGGAGTCAGAGTCTAGCTAAGTTTCCTTGCCAAGGCTGGCCTTGAACTTGGCCTCTTTCCTGCCTCCCCGCCATCACCCCCCTCCTCACCCCAGTCCCCAGTCGCTGGATTAGAGGCCGGTGACACAGCACCCAGTGCTTCCTTTTTTTATACAAAGTTAAACAGTGCAGAAGTGAACACCCTTATCGTCGTTATTTCTGCATGCCTGTGTGCGAGTTCCTGGCGGCGAAGTGGGCACATTTACTGCTGAAATGATGAAACGGAAGGGACTGTTGAGGACACTGAGAGCCTCTCCCCGCCCTCCCGCTTTCTTTCATAAGCATTCACCGAGCGCCCCCTAGTGGTTGGGATGGGAGACGAGGATACCGAGACCCGTTAGCCAGGGCCCCCATCCTAGGGAGTCCAGGCTTCCTGGGGCAGAGAAGCCCTTTAGGATTCAACTGGGTGTAAAAAATAGTCTACGTAAGTGGGAGAACAGAGTGGCTTGTAGGGACGCTGAGAAATATATGATGGGGCCTGGCACACGCCTGTAATCCCTGGATTTGGGAGGTTGAGGCAGGGGGATTGCAAGTTCAAGGCCAGCCTCCGCAACATAGTGAAACACTGTCTAAAAATAAAAAAAGGACTGGGGATGTGGCTCAGTGATTAAGTGCCCCTGGGTTCAATCCCTGGTGCAAACAAAACAAAAGAAAATCCCGCGGGGGGGAGGAGAGAGAGAGAGAGAGAGAGAGAGAGAGAGAGAGAGAGAGAGAGAGAGAGAGACTGGAGCTTGGGAGAAATCACAAATGCATGTCAGAGGAGGCAGCGAGACTTAAGTGTCAGAAGAACTTCCCAGGTAAGAGGGTAACACCCCTTGCACATGCCCAGAGCTGGGACTCACCTGAAGTCCCTACCTCCATGTGTTGAAGTGATGGGAGGATGAATTGGATCACAGGTGGATCCAGGTAACCAGGGACCTTGTCAATTATTCCTGGGAACTTGGGTCTCATCTCGCACTGCTAGGTTTTTCAGAGGGAGATCTAGGAACCACTTATTTTAGAATCCTCTCTGGAAGGAGGATATCCTTGCTGGGACCCTTCCTGGTCTACTGGAGCATACCTTCTGGGGTCAGGTCCTTGGACTCTGCATTTTAAAAAATCAAGCTCCCTGGGCCATGTGTATTCACTGAGATCTGATGATTCTGCTGCTAGCGATTGTACATGCATCGTTTTCAAACAAATTATTCGTTACCAGGAGCCAAGGTTTATTTTAATCATTAGCAAGGAAATCATCCAGAAGCAAAGATGTCTGGTTCTAAGAGCCGTTGAGAGACAGAATTGATATGTCAGCCAGGGAGAGAATGCAAAAACAAGATTACGACCCAGGCACAGTGGCCTGTGTCTGGAGTCCCAGCGACTTGAAAGCCTGAGGTAGGAAGATCCCTCGAGCCCAGCCTGGGCAAAACAATGAGACTCCACTGAGAGAGAGAGAGAGAGAGAGAGAGAGAGAGAGAGAGAGGGAGAGAGAGAGAGAACACAGATAAATTAGATTTAAGTTTCTACAAGATGCAAACCAAAAAATCATATTTGGGGTTAACTTTGTCTTTGGGGGGCTTTAAAATTATAGTTTGTCACACTCTGACAGGATGTCAAGAGGCTGCCTTTGATTAGCTGTAAATTATTAATCGGAACCTGTGACCCAAAAGCTGAATTCTCCTAGGAAGTAGATAAGGGTCAAACCGACATCTAGTAAATGCGTCAACCCGGGGTGTTAGAGTCTGTAAACAAGTCAGGATGGCGCCTAGCATTTTGCCAGAGGGAGTGGTTAATGTTAAGGTCTGTAAACAAGTCAGGATGGCGGCTGGCAAAATGCCAGAGGGAGTGGTTTGTGAAGTAACTCCAGGGAGCCATTAAGTGTGGAGATTCCTGATTGGTTGACTGCTGTATCAAGTTTATGTTAATTAGATAAGCTGTGTGGAATGTATAAATACCCCTCCTGTCCTGCAATAAACGGCTTCCACTCCTGCTGTATCAACGTACACAAGTTGTTCGTCACCCCCCCGTTATTCTGCTGCAGCCGGACTGCGGCACCGGGGATGGGGTAACCTTTCCCAGGGCCAGATAGCAACTTACGTGTCAGTCGAATGTCTCCGTGAAGATTGCTCAGCTCTGCTCTTGGCAGGGATCAGCTACAGACAATATGCACAGCAGGCACGGGGCTCACAAAACCAGGCAGCGGGATAAATGTGCCTGCAGCCGTAGTTTCTTCGCCCCTGTTAGTGTTTACATTCCACACTGTGCCCCAAAGCACTAGGCCACTGTCCTGGGTGGCTTCTCTCCCTCTTGAGCCAGCTCCTTTGTGCTTCTAAATCACAAACTCCAGTGGTCAGTCCTGAGCCTGTGGGAGGGAGCAGGTTGAGAGGTCATGCTGAGCTCCTGGGATTGAATTCCCAGGAGCCTGAGTCGACTCTAACCCACGCCTCTCCACCCCCACTGGCAGTTGTGTCCAAGAGCAGCCGAGTCCAGTCCCTCAGCATGCTAACCTAGAGAGCCCTCTAGTTCTTGTGGGAGTATGCCCATCCGTGGGACCGTGGGATGTTTTTATTCTCTTTGCGGCGATACGTGATCATATAATACCCAGGGATAATTTTGGACCGATTTGGGTTGCGTTTCCCTATCAGAACTGCAGGAGTGGCAGGGTCACCAGCTCAGCTGGGTTTGATGAGACCGGCACCAACTGGACCCCGAATTTGGCATGATTGGTGATTTGGGGGCCCTTGATTCATAGACCCAGAGCCAGGGGACCAGGAAAACACAAACAGGGACGTTGGCAAAGGCCTAACCCTGAAGGAGACAAGTCAGACGTTGTCATGGGGACGGGTGGAGTCAGGCTCCCTGGTGGCTCGCTGGCCTGGCTCTTGGCTGGAGGCCTCAGTTTCTAGCCACACAGACATTTCCATATGGTCACTTTCGTGTCCTCATAACTCAGTGGCTGACTTTTCCCCAGGTGATTCGAGAGACAGCAAGGAGAAGCCACGAGGTCTCTCACGACCTAGGTGTGGGAGTCACGTGTGGCCATGTCTCCAACACCCCATCGGCCAATGGTCCCGTTCTACACAGGAAGGGACTGAAGAGGACAGGAAGAGCAGAGGAGGACCCCACAGTTGCATTTCAGGGGAGAAGCAGAGTGTGGCAGGAAGACAGCACATCTGAGGGCAGATGTGGCAGGAATTAAGAATGGAATAGTAGTTGAGGTTGTGGGGGTCCCTGTGCGCCTGGGACAGGAGTTTTAACTGGGAAGAAACAAATGGTACCAATACAGGAGAGTGGCATGATCCGCTGGCATTGGGTTAATCTCCTTGCTGGTAATCCCTCCAGAAGACGGAAAGAAAGGAGAGGGACTGGAGGCAGGAGGCCCATTTGGGGACTGTTGTAATAATCCAACGGAGAAAGAGTGAGATGGTTAGGAGAGAGGTGGGCTGCTGTAACAAAGAGACCTCCAAAGAAGACATTGATTTCCTTCTCTCCCAGCAGTCCATGTTGGTGGTGCAGGGCTGAAATTATGTCCTGAGAGAACTGGGGGCTCAGGCTCCTTCTGTCTTCTCATTTTATCCATTCAAACATGAGTTCCATTTTGTGATCCAAGATGGCGGCTCTGGCATTCATTCCAGCCAGGAAAAAGAGGACTGTGCTAGTGAAGGGCACCCTCCTGGTACAACCCAGAAACCACACACACCACTTCTGCTCACATTTCCTGGAATGAAGCCCAATTCGTATGACCAGGTGAACCCCCACAAGGGGCTAGATTGTGGAGAGCCATGTGCCCAACCAAAATTCAGGAAGGAGGAAGGGGATATTGGTTCTTAGGAACTGGTAGCCCCTCTCGGATCGGCAGTGGCAATGGAGACTGAGATGAGACACCAGCATCTAGGGTTCACTCGGATGGAGGGAGACATAAAGGATTTGGAGACTGAGGAAGAGACACAAGCATTTCAGGGGACAGTGTGGCTCTTAACTTGTTAGGGTTGCAGAAGACACTGGTGCCCCAGGAGCACAAGAGGCTGGGACACATCATCCCCCCAGTTACTGATAAGTGCCTCTCCTTGTCCAGCCACGGGGAACTCCCCATAATACTTCTCGCTGGCCCACTCATTTGAGCTGCTCTCCGCCCCCAAAGGAATTTCCAGCTGCTGTGGACTCAGGAAGTAAAAACTAATTTTGGTGTCAGCATGAGCAGAACCCGAATCTCCGAGCAAATCAGCTGCTTCTGCCTCCACACAAGTGCAAGGGGCTTCAGGGTCAAAGAGAAAAGCTTTTAGTCTTATCAGTCC